ACTATTAAACTAGTACACACCTCTTAGACTCTACAGAGTTGACAAGGGCCACCAGCTTTACTGATTTCCAGACATAACGTATTTCAGAAGCAAAGAGTAATAGAGCAGTTAGAAGGTAGGAACCACATCTCAAAACAGTTAATGTATTAAAATGTGTAACAATCCTGTTGCTGTCAGCATCTCAAGCTTCCCAAAATACACATTAACGGAGCTATAAAAGTTTCTAATTAGACAATCTAACAATCCTTTATATAACTTCACATTTTTTAGATGACTATAATGTAGTGGAGCACAGGAAACGCCTTTTTTTGGTGGTGCGGGGGAAGAAACCTGTATAGTATTTCAGAGATATTTTAGTATTTTAGAGAGCAAGAGGAAAAAACAGCAGTAAATCATCCAGCACCTGCAATAACTAGATAAGAGAACAACAATTAATCCTTGGTATTAAAATATTTTGCCTTTCAGAAAAAAGCATGAGAACAACTTTGATAACCAAAATTAAGGAAGTTTATCACATGCCAAAACAAGTTTACCACAAAATATCATCTGAATCCAATTACTTCTCATGTCATATAACATTGCCCAGGGCATGAACAAGGCTCCCTTTCTGATGCTGTCTCAGTTTTTCTTTTCAGCATGCATAAATGAATATTTTCAAAACCTCTCTACTTTACTTTTCTTTTCTAGCTTTTCCACAATCCCTTCCCTCAAATCAAAACCTCTCACAAGCAGGAATGTGGATCCCTATGCAGGAAACAGATGCTGATTGACTGTAGATTTGATCTTCTTAATTATCTCTCATATATGTTTAAAAGCAGTCCTGCTCCTATGGACCACAGGTGGGAACCTCCCCTGTACATTTTTTCTGAGGAGTTTTCTATCTTCTGGTTGGACTCATTCGTAATTTCTGGTTTACCAAATTTTCCAGATAGGTCTTCATTTTTCCTCCCAACCCTCCCAGAACATGAGACCAGAAGAGCTTTAGGCATCAGTCCAAGATTTCCAGAGGCCCCACAGCCTGGCCAGCATGCCAACAATCTGTGTGCACACAGTAAGGACATCTGATGCACTTGGAATGTGTGGAACTCACTGCATAGGCAATATGGAACACATATGCACATATTTCCACCCTAAATCCTACATAATGCACCCCTGATATTTTCCTCACTTTTTTTCCTGCATGAAGTCAAATGGAGTTGTTGAAACTCTGACAGATCCCAGCATTCATTATAAATTCATTCCCTCTGATACATCAAATATTTTCCTGTGACATTTGCTTTCAAAGGCATTTTGATGTCTGCTTATACCTTTTACATGTTTCCAGCTTCCATAACCACATGTTAGTCTGGAAATAGAATGAGGTGACAGTGCTGTGAATTACGGTTTCCGTACACCTCAGTTTTGTTCAGGCTGGTAAATGCAGTTGCCACATGGCCATTTCTGACATTCCCACTGACTTATAATTTGGACAAGTGTGGAAAGGTAACTAAGCAATAGAGATTTCTCGAGTTTCCAGATTTATTTTTTCACAATAAATAATCCCATCCTTTTTTGGATAGTGTTTTAGCCTTGCTTAATGGATGGCTGAATGATCACTCTAAAGAACTCTTTTGTTAACAACATCCAAATCATCTAAAATACTATATAAGTCATCTGATGCCATTTATCAAATATACTGTTGCTTTAATTAAGGCAAGTGGTAAAGACAGGTAAGATACATGCTCATTTGATAGCACTGATAACTATACAAGCTGCAACTTGATACAAACAGGTCTTAATTATGTTATTTTCTTGATAGGCTACAAGATGCCCCAGAATGAATCATGTTGGAGACCGTCACATGCTTTCTTAAAAAACTATGATGAAAAAGAGTTTTTACTACTTGCTTTACCTACTAAAACATTTTTTCTAATCTGATGTTCCCAGAGTAAAAAAACCCATCTAATTAATGTCTCCTTTCAAGCTGAAAGCCAGATTACTGTTTCCTTCATTTTACCACAGCAATTTTGTTTCTTTAAAAGGGCAGAAAACTTTGCCCATACATGAAAGCAGCACTGTACCTTGCCACTTACTTCAACCTTGTTTATTTAGTATTTTGAGCATTTTCCATTGTGCTGGAGACTTTCTAGTTCGGTAATTTTATTAACGTTTCCATGATATCAAGCATTTTACATTTTCACCGCAACTTAGTTTCACCTGAAGCTTCTTCAGGTTACTTTTATTTGCAGGTTTTACTTCTTTGATAGAGTATTGGGATCTGACGATCACAAAGAAACAGATTCTGTTTTTAAATTATGGTGCTGAAAATGCAGAAAACATCCACAGGCTACAATGTATTTAGTATGGAATAGAGTGATCTTTGGCTTCTACAACACCATTTTCCAATTTACATTCATTTGGTAAGTTAGTTGTAACGATGTAGCAGATATATATGAAACTTTATTAACAAGTAGGGTTTACATTGTAAACATTCACAGTTCAGGAAACTAAACATTATTCCCCATAAAACCGTATCATGGGCTTTTTACTATGCTTTAATTATGCAGAAAGCAAAAGCTATTTCTGTTTTTAGCAATAGTATTTTCCTGACTCCTCCTGTACCTCCTTAAAACATGATCTTATATATGTGATTAACAACTACCAGTTCTGCAAAGAAATAAATGAAAAATAGAATAATTCATTAGTATGAAGGGACAAACTAAATAAAGGAAAAAATGTCACTGAAAAAATACCCCTAAAATAATCAAATATGCTTATATATTGTTTTGTGTAATACACAGTTCTTTCTAAACATTCTATATTTAGTTTAATATTACCCCAAAGTTATTTTGAATACACTGCTAATAATTAAATTATATATGAAACTAAGATAAGGTAGAGAGTATTAGATACAAGACACAGAAAAAAACCATTTAAAATCAAGACAAAGTCAGTAAAAACCTATGCAAACATCTGAATTACCTAGCAACTATTAAACACTGTTCAGTATGTTGCAGAAGAGTACGGATAACAATGTATTCCTAATAAAGTCAAAGAAAAATATTTCTCACCATGACAAAATTGGAAGAGAATAGACTAAAGCTGGCATGACATTGCTTTTAGCCTTATTTTATTGATACTTACTAATTAAAAGTTATATATTATCTAAAAAGGCATAAGAAAATAGCTATGGAAAAAAGCAGCTGTACTAAATAACGTGTCATTTTTTTTCATAATGTGCTATATCTAATCACCTTTATTCTAAATTATTATTTCCAACTGAATTGCAGTTAAATGAGAATTTTATATAATTTATGAGTTATTACTAAAAGCAATACACTAGAACTCCCAAGAATTGTGTAATACTAAGAGATGTTAAAATTATATTTCTAGCACAGAGATTTAAGAGAGAGTTTTAAGAGTTGCGTCCTTTGCCAAAAATATTAGCATTCAAGTTAAACTGTCACTAGCATGCTTAGCTCACAAGATGGTCTTTTTAAGTGCACATAATGTTAGAAGCAAAACACAAGTCTGGACTCATGAAACTGCATGAATGTCACCACTATCATTTTGTTACTCACTTCTTCCCTTTACCCTAAAGCTAAACATAGGCCACCTCCATGTCCCCTTACTCTTTTCTATTCAGTCACATGCTCCTCTAATCCTTCAGTCAGCCTACAAATCTCAACTTGGAACTTTCCAGTTTTCATTTCTGTATTTTTTATTTTGCTGCCCAAATTGTTTTGAGTGCCCCTCAGCACTCACATGGCATGCCAGGTACTATGTAACCATTCACAACCCCTCCTGGGGAATTCACTGGTGTGATACAAGAAATAAAAGCCTCAGGAATAATAAACTACTAGCAAAACAGATTTCTCTGAAGTAGCATCATCCTCTAAAGTTCCAGAGGGACTCCTCATCTGTGTTTTAGTATAGACTACAGATCCCTCAGGGCAAGAACCAAGTTATTTATGACATAATTAAGCAAACAACAGCATTATACTAACTCATTCTTCAAAGAGATATCCTGAGATAATGGTACATATCACTCACCTAAATCTCCAAACAATATGCTATCTATCAAAAACAGGCAATTGTCAGTTGAAGTAACTTCCCAGTACCACACACTCAGTGCAGGTCACTCAGTAATCTGGTGCACTCAAATCAGTGTTTTCCCCTATCAACAGGCAATTTAAGCATCTAATTAACAGGTGTTTAAGGCAATCCTTTTGGTGTTTTCTTTAAACACTTCTGGCAACTGTTTTAACCCACTACAGGGTGCAGCAAGCACAGACTTAGTAGTTAGCAGCCCAGTTTGCATGGTGGCAGAAGCGAAGCAGGCCCTAAGAGTCTGCTTCAGACAATGGGATTGTGCCACTACCATGCAGGAGGCAGGGGCACTACAAGGCTCCATCCCCAGCACTCACTGGAGAAGATACCCTGGGATGGCTCCGTCTCAGCTGAGGCAGAGTTCCAGAGGGAGCGTGCTGCCATGCAAGACTCAGTCTGCAGGATGACACTGGCATCACAGTGGGAGATACACTCTGGCTGGGGCACTGAGACACCAACAAAAGGAGCAGTGAGAGGAGGTGAACAGACTGGGAAGGTTTCATCACTGCAATATAAGAAAGATATTAAGCTATTAGAGAGCCTCCGAAGGAGGACAACGAAGAACCTAGAATTCCCTAGAAGAATGCCACTTTAACAGCCACAGCTCTTTCCCTTTTGAAGGTTTATAAGATTACAGGATTTCTGAGCCATATCAAGAACATATACAAACCAATGCAAAGGATATTTCTGTTTTAAAAATAAAACCAACAATACATTTAAAATGTCCAGCTCGTATTGAAAAATAAAAGCACAGTCCTCAGAAAGTTTCAGTCTGAAGTAATCTTTTATGGATTGGATAATACTCCATCTGCTGCTACTTCAGGAAAAAAAAACTAGATAGTCAGCTGAATCTCTTATCTATTGTAAAGCCACCATCCTTTACAAAACTTGCAGGCAGCAGGACAGCTTACCAATGGCTTTTGTGTAATGTCTGGCTCCAAGTAACAGCTCTGGAGCTCTGTACCAGAATGTCACCACAACTGGATCCAAGTCTGCCAATGGCTTCAAAGGCGAGTTAAACAATCTTGCAAAACCCATATCAGCTGGGGAATGGGGAGAAAAAATAGAAAAGAATATTTATTTAAATTTTAATACAAAGAAAACAAAATTTAACAGTATTGCCAAAAACAATTATAACAAAAGCTTAAAAACATTAAAAGTTACAAATCAAAGTTTCTAACAAAGCACAGTTACTCATAATAATACTGAGCCAAATTTATCTAAGACTAAATTCCATTTACTTCGTTCATAAGACTATGAAGGATAATGTTTGACTTCAGTGTTTTCACCACGGGATTGTAAAACTTCACACAACACAGACACCTGTTTATTTTTTAAAAAAACTCCAACAGAAACTTGGTTAACTAAAGTCAATAGTGGTAGGTCTCTAATGTACATTTTTTTAATAGTAATTTATAAAAGTGTGAGTCTTTGCGGCTGCTATGTATTTACCCAAAGTGCAAAACCAAAATGACTACAGTGTAGATTGTTTTGAACTATTTTTCAAGGCATGTCTCCTACTTGATTTGGAGGAATGAACTCCAGAATCAGTCAGTATATACTGTTACAGAGGTGTATTTTAAAAGTAAGCACTGATATATAACTCAAAAATTCTCTCTAGAAAGAGTCTTGTAACAGTAAGAAATGCTCAATGGGAAAGTACAAAATTGGGCGTATCCTCAAACCCACACATTTTAAATCCAATTTAAATCTGCAACTTATCTTTTATACCACTTCACTTAAATCTTTCTGCTTCCAAAGTTATGAAATGCCAAGTATAATTTTCTTGCTGTTGCCCATACAAATACAAGCATATAAATCAATAATTATTAGCTGAATGTTTTCAAACACAAGAAAATTGATGAATGCAGAGTCCAATATGAAAAACTAATGAAGATCTCTTTCTGTCTTACACTGAAGATCTGTTTTTTTAAAGTAACCCCTTAGCTATGCAATGAAATTTTCTAAAAATGTTTACCTATTTTAACTCTTCCTCTTTCAGGGCCTTCACCCATTACCAGAATGTTTGCTGGTTTCTGGAAAACAAAAAATCAGAATTTTTAGTTGATCAGCCTTTGGTGATTATCTTCAAGAAGAATAAAAATATGTACGTTCATTTTATAACTAAAACATTTCTAGAAATATCCTTAGAAGTCTAAGATTACCATACCTTTATGTTTTGCTGACATTTAGTTATTATCCCTAGTTACCAATTTCACAATTAGAAAAACAGAAAACTACTTTGATGTTTCACTGTAAGAAATGCAATCTTTAACTACATTTGCATTCCTATTGTTACCAGAATGATTAAGTTCAGTGGAAAGATTTTCTTCTACAGGAAGCAGTTTTATGCTACACATCAATAACCTAGCAAAACCCACTTTTGCTAGTATAACTTAACGAAAGTGATGCCAAATCTTGGTATGCAAATGAGTATGCATCAATGAGTGTCAGTTTTATTATCGTCATATATAACTCAATTTTTAGAGCTGTGTTTGTTTTTAGAGTATGAAAGAAAAAAATCACATTGGCAAAAGAACTTTTTCCACAAAGTTGATTTCATGCTTGAAAATTCACTTAAAACAGAAATGTACACAGACAGCTACGTCCACAAGCTTTTGACAGTGTAGACAGCAGCTTTGCAAGTACAACAAAAGCTTTATAGACATTTTTTGCAATCCATAGTTGTTTGCAACCAGCTGCTTGTGAACACCACATAAAATCTGCACATGACATCACAGCAATTGTTCTGCTATTAGAATCTAGGTTCCCTCAGACATCAATAATCATTCCTTGGAAACTTTTCCCCTATTGTTTTAACAGCTGTAAAAAAGTAAACAAGATTGAAAACATAAAGTGATTTGAATGAAGAGATGCATAACAAACTTTCAAAGTAGAATTTTTGGGAAGTTAATCCCAACAATAATTGTATTTAAAATCCCTAATGCCCAGAGAGGTCCACTCAAGCAGGATTTGTCCAAGAATATGAAAGAGATGTCCAGAAAGCCACCACCAAAATTTCACTTAAATTCTCAGTGCCTTGCCACTATTTACCTGAAATGAGACACTCAAACTAGGGTTACTAATTCTGCTCAATATTACAAACCTTTTTTGAAAAAGCAAACCAACAACCACCACCAACAAAAAAAGTACCCTACCTATTCTTTCTCTTTCCCTGGGATGCTGTTCTCACTTCCCACCTCACATCCAGTGCTAGACATTGCTTCTTCCCTGGTTCCAACCACAACCTCTCTTTCCAGATGCCATTGCCTCTTTTATTACTTCTTTTTTAATCTATAATTGTCAACGCCATCCCTGACTTTTCATTCCCCAACATATATTTGGAATCATTCAAGAGGCAATATGCACTCCCTTGGAGAACACAAGAGCTATTTCAATCGATCTTGAGCAAACACTCACCAGCAAATCTAGGGAAGATAAAAATTATGCTTGCTCTTAGCTAATATTTAAGGATAATAAACTCAATACCTCAAGGTGGCTGTCAAACTCCAGTTGTACATTTATGTATTACGCAGAATTGAACATTCCAGAGAACAAAACAATCCGATTCTGCATATTCAGTAATCAGGTAGCAAGGGAAGCATGCAAGTTCAAGCAAGAGAGCAAAATTCCAGTTTCCTTGCCAGAATTCTTCCTAAATTTTTGCCTAAAGAGTTGAGTATGACGAGTTTGCTGGACCGATAGGCTGAGGGCAATGGTATGATGTTCAGCGACGCAAAATGTTGTGTCCTGCCCTTGGTCCACAACAACCCCACGCAGCACTACAGGCTGGGGGAAAGAGTGGTTGGAAAGCTGCAGCTGCAGGCATTAGAACAGGCTGCCCAGGGAACTGATGGAATCACCATCCCTGGAAGCGTTCAAAAAAATGTGGATTTGGCACTTGAAGACATGGTTTAGTGGTAGACATGGGGGTGAGAGGTTTATGGTTGGACTTAATCTTAGAAGTTTTTTCAACCTTAATGACTCTGTGATTCTATGAATCACAAATCACTTCAATAGACCTTTATATTCAGGATTGGATTATGCGCTATAAAAATGCATTTTTTTGTCAAGTGAAGAAAGCTGATAAAAATGTAGTTACTGCACTGATTTATGGGTCAGGGTTTTTTCTAATTAGGTTGTAAGAAATAAACATTATAACACCAGGAGATTTACCAAGATAAAAATCAAAATCTAAGCATAAACAACAGGATTCTCAAAACATCTCACAAGAGTTACATTTTATCTGTGGCAATACAAGATTTTCCAAGTATCAATTTCTTCATAGAAAAAAACTCCAACTATTTTATCTGCTGACATAATCCACAATATTCACAGAATAGCTGAGGTTGGAAAGGGCTTCTGGAGATCATCAAGTCCAATCCCCCTGCTTTTAGCAGGGTCAACTACACAGATTGGTCAGGCCCAAGCCCAGTTGAGTTTTAATCTTTTCCAGGGATGGAGACTCCACAGCCTCTCTCTAAAACTTCTAGTGTTTTACCACCCTCACAGTAAAAAAAGGCTAGTCACACACTACATTTATGCCCACTGCTGCCTGTCCTGCCACTGGATAGCATTGAGAAGAGTCCGGTTCGGTTTTCTTTATTCACACTTACCACGTATGTAGATGCATTGGTAAGATCCCACACAAGCCTTCCCTTCTTGAGGCTGAACAGTCCCAGCTCTCCCAGCCTTAGAAAGACTCCCCAAACCCCTAAATGACTTAGTGGCCCCACGCATACAGGAGATACACTAGGTTAGATCTGAACTATGGAAGCAAGGGACTTGTCCATTTATGTAATTTTTAAAGCCAGAATGATTTGAAGAGATGTTGTTCTGTTTAAAATGTAAATCTGTACTAATGAGTAATCCACCTAGGACCAGAACCCCGCTTGGGCAGCCAGCAGAGAAGCAAGTTGATTTACAAACTTATCATAGTCATGTTGATTAGCTCTTGTGAACCTCTGTATCTGAGAGAGTCAGGGGAAACAGAGAAGGAATAAACTGGGAAACAACTGAAAACTTATTTCCAAAAGAACAAGCACTTCTCCTGAGGCACCACCATCAATGTGGAGATTACAGGCATTTCATGGACGGCAATCTGATGCCTGCAGGATCCCACTGATCTGCAGATCACTGTCTCAGTAGCAGCTTGAGTTCCTCTTGTTAATCAGAGCTATTATGGCTAGGAAAGCATTTTCAATGCATGTACACTGAACCAGTCAAAGAGTTAGCACTGAGCTGATAGGGCTCATCTTTCTGAGATACAACATATGATATCCAGCTCCTGTGCCCATGAATTTTTATTTAATAAAAATATACAGCTTCAGAGGAGCTTAAAACGTAGGTCACATGTTTTGTGGTTGTTTTATATAATGACTTGAACACTGTAAAGTAAAACTCCTCACCTCCCCAGAGTCTTGACAATGCACATGCTGTGCTGAGAGTAACACAACCCATACGGAGCAGCAGTGCTTGGCTAAACAAGTGGCACCAAGGCAGAGTAGTAGAACTTCAGGTGCTCAGGTATGGAGCAAAGACTTTAGTTTACTTCAGAGAGATTAATGTGGCATCAGAGATCCTCAGGAAAGTATGTAACGAACGTTCCATCGTGACATCAGAGATTGGACTGCTTAAGGGGAATGCAAACAACTTCTTGGAGAAGGTAGAATGTGTTAGCCTAATCTCTGTATACATAGCATTTTAAATATCAAAACATTTTACTCCAAAATAGTAATTTAATAGTCTACTATAAAGCTACAGTCTAGTATACTGTAGTTACTGGACAGCTGCAAAAAATCAGATTCAGAAACCAGGAATTAAAAAGCCCCATATCTCATGTTTGTTCTGGCTACATACAAGTCATAAGCAGCAGTCTAGTTCCTAAACAAATCCTACTGCTATCCGTGTGAGGAATAAAACAGAGTTTTAGGTGGAAGAAAACATGAAGAACCAAGCAGCAGCAAGGAGACTAAAGTTCGACACATACTTAGAGTAAATCATGTCTCTATCTGATAATTTTAATAAAGGAAGTTTGAGAGGCCCTGCTTAAAATTATTAACTAACTCCTTAGAGTAAAAGGTGAGGTAACTCAACAAGGACTACACTTTCAACTAGTTACATCCCAATTAATACTCTCTCTATTTTCCTCATACTCTCCCCTTGCCGAGAACACAAACACCAGCTGGGAAGCAAAGTGATGCTGCTGCATCTCCACCTATCTAGTTGCTATAGAAACAACAGAAACAGTAAGAGTTATGAGTCTCACACTTAATGTAAGCTATAAAAATGAACAAATCTCTGCTGAGAAATACAGTTGAGGTTTGACTGTCTATAGAACAGCTGCAAAAAGAGCAAGGTCAGCAGCAACAAACAACTGCAGCAAAAATCTGAAAATTCTGCAAAAAGGGATGATGATGATTTAATAGGTTCTTTACAAGTAATAAGCATGGATAATAGTATTTACTTTTCTACATTGGTTGGAGAGAGGTAATAAAGCAATTGAAATCTTAAAAAAATATCTTGGTGGGAGAGAAATTAAAATATTGGGCTAAGAAGTGTGTTTCACAAATAATAGAAATGTCATGACCAGAACTCGTACAGACACCCATGTTATCTGAATCAATATGTTTCCTATTTTAATATTTAGGCAGTAAATTAGAAGAAAGGTTGAAAGAAAAGAAACCATCTATGGTCTTAAAAGAGCATAACAGGTCAAACCAGGAATAACAGCCTAACAATAGGTTGCAATACTTTAGTTGTAATGGTTGTTATCTCTTTAAGTACAGTGGTGACACAATTCTTAAGAGATTTGGTGCAGAATTACAGTCCTGTAAGAAAACATCCATAGGGATACACTACTTTCCATACACCATTCTTTATTGTTTATATCCAAACAAATGTGTTTCCCTTTTGGAATGTATCACTGGACAAAGAATAATCTGATATTAGGAGGCTTCTATTGTAAAAGAGATTGCAAGTCTTCCAGATAAAAGCTTTCCCCACGATTACAGAAACTGCCTTGTGATGAGGTCTT